CGGTAAAAAAATAATCACTACATGACTGCTCTGGTGATAACCAGCAACTTTCCAGAGATAAAACGTTTCATTTCTGTGTGTTTCGTAGTGTTTTAATTTTACACTGTAGTTTTCAGACGAAAGGAATAAAAAGGCGACATACCTTCACTCACAGTGGACGCGACACCGGACGAAGAGGCTCCGGTGGGTCTCCAAAACGAGCGCGTCGGCCAAATATGTGAAATATATGTAAAATTTCCCCCAAAACTGTCGAGACAAACTGAAAAAGTAAGGAACCCGCAGGCACAAGCAGCCTTAACTCAGCTATTTAAAGACACCTTCACACTACTCTTGCTTGTGTGATTTTTCTCAAAGGGATAGTTTACCCAAAAATGAAACTTTTGTCATCATTTACTCACTACTACTTTGTCAATCATCTTGGTACTTTTCTGTGCCTTGACCGTAGTAGTTCCCTTGCCGTCTATGGGAGGAATGACACGAGGGTGGGTAATTAATGACAGAATTTTCATTTTTAGGTGAAAAAACAATTTTGTTCCCGAACAATATTACTGTGTCAGGGCTTAAAGACACTTTGTTAAAAAAAAACAACATAACGCACACATATTATTACCACTGTGTCATCTGTCTACACATATTAGTTTTATTTGGAATGCCAGAAGAACACACTGTCTGAACATATCGTTTGCCAAGCCATGTTATTTTTAATTTGCTTCAGGAAATAAAAGATGACTTGGAACCCTCAACTAGGAGTCACGCAATACCAGCTCTATCAAAACTTCTTGCAACCCTTCATTTTTTGGCCTCCAGTTCTTTTCAACGTAGCCTACTGTGGCTTATTTATATCTTTATTCTTTATTTGTGACTACGCTAATTTGCACTGCGCTTGGTTTGCCCTGTTTAGTAAAACTGGCCCTAAGTGTGTGTTGGTGTGCTAGTCAGTCCATAATGTAAAATATTACAATCTGGCATGAAAATACAGAACAGGATTTTCTCACCAGAAGAAATATCCGGAAGCACCGATCGACCGTTGGAATTTAAAACTTTAACCCAACTGGTTGCGTTGTTATAGAAATAACCCAACAAACATAGGAATAACCCAACAAAACGACCCAACATGTTTAACCCAGATATTGGGTAACGTTACAGTAAATAACCCAACGTTTTTTAGAGTGTAAGAAAGTGATGTGGATTTGTGTGTGTGTGTGTGTGTGTGTTGTTTTGTTGTTGTTTTACAAGGATTTAATTGATTTCAGATCATTTTAAATGATATCCATAAGAATTTATGCAGCATAAAAGGAGAAAAAAGATATAGTGATAGTATGAAAATAATAGTGATCGAATGAAAATATAAAATAATAGTGATCATATGAAACCATGTGATGCATATTATATTCACATGCCTCAAAATATAATTAAAATCTCACTTCTTATTATTTATCAACTGAAACAGAGTGAACAGAGACATACTTTTTTTATGGTTTCATATATTATTCTAATTAACTAACTAGTTTTAATACAGTACACCAAAAATCACACTATGAAAATTATTAAACATAAATCAAAACAGTACTGATTTAATTGATTTCAGATCATTTTAAATGATATCCATAAGAATTTATGCAGCATAAAAGGAGAAAAAAGATATAGTGATAGTATGAAAATAATAGTGATCGAATGAAAATATAAAATAATAGTGATCATATGAAACCATGTGATGCATATTATATTCACATGCCCTTACACAACTTTTTTAACCTCCCAAATTCACAGCTGTTACCACATTCGCTGTTTGTGGTTTATAAAAACATGATGTGTTTTGATACTGATTGTATTAGATACTCTTCGAAGCATTAATTTCATGTCAGTTTTTGTAAAGCCTCTCAGGCATTTTGTATCACTGGGCTACTACTCTTAGAGCACAGTAATAGAGAGCTGAATCCATCAGAGTTAAACTGTTAATAGTGAGTTCAGTGGATGACTGGGATGTAGTTGATTGAAACCCATCTGGTATATCTTTCTGCTTGCTCTGTGATCGAGCACCTTTATACAATAAATATTCTGGCTTTCTGTTTGGATATTGTCTGTACCAGTAAAGCCAAATATCATTGCTGTTAGTTTCAAATGTGCAGCTCAGTGTCACAGACTCTCCTTCTTCTTTGATTATATTAGTATCTCCTTCACTTGGTCCAATTCTATCAGCAAATCCACCTGAAATGCAGTGAATCATATTTTAAATACCCTGATGTATAATTAAGTTATTTTGTCAATAAAAGTAATATTAGTTTAAATTAATTGATTCAAAAAATATAATTAATTGTGATAAAAAAACATATTTACCTGAAACTGTGATGGAGCATTATGAGTAGCATCTGCCTCTCCTCCATCTTAACTGAAATCCACTTTAAAGATCAGATTTTAATTGTCTAATACTTGATTTACATAAATATAATTGATTTATTAGATTATCATTATTAACTTACAGAATTTGTTAGTTCCAAATTATGCTGAATGTGGCTTTATAAAATGAATAAAAATATAAGAGTAGCTGATGGTTGAATTAAAGCACTGAGAACTGAGTGAAGTTCTGTTGTGTATGAATAATGTGGCTGTGGGTTAGTGAAATATGAAACACGTTCTGTGTCTTCAAATGTGTTTCTTATAGACCTCAGGTGCTTGTTTAGTGTGAATAAAACAGCTTGTGAAATAATGTTGCCCCCTTCTGTTGGAGCTCAGAACAGCATGTTTTGTGCAGTTGCTTTACCCTGTGCTTTAAAATGTGCCGTCTAAAATGGTAAATGTTTTTGAATTAATTTTATTGACAATTATTTTTAATTACAATCATTGTTTGGCTCACACATGTTATGCATATAACACGTTTTATGTCCTCATAAAAGTAATAATCTGTCTTCCACTTTCAGCCACAGAATATTTTCACAGTATGAGAGTTTCTTAAGGATCTACTAATATAAGAACTTTATAATAAATATCTGTGTGATTTAAAAAAAAAAACATAAACCTCATCCTCATCTCTCACGTTCAGTTTTATTTAAAGAGCTTTTTGTATAGCATGCAGTGGATTTCCTTTCACTGTGAGCTCCAAAGCACAGTAGTAGAGAGCGGAGTCAGTGACAGCAGCAGAGGAGATCTTCAGATCCACACTACTGTTGTCTTTTCTGTGATTAATTGAGACTCCAGCAACTGGAGGATCAGCTTTAGTAACTGTCCCATAGGACTCCAGGATGAGGAACTTTGGTGGTGAACCTGAGTATTGACGATACCAGTGAAGACCTCGAACAGAACCAGTGTAGCTACAAGAGAGTGTCACACTGTCACCCTCAACAGCAAACTGCAAAGCACTGTATGGTGTGATGACCTCTGCCGCTCTGGTACCTGCATTTAAAGTGTAAATTTAAAGTTTAAAAAACAAAAAGAAGACAAGAAAAATATAACTCCTCTTTCAAATGTGCATTCTCAATTCAAATGCAAAAAATGTATATGCTTAATAATGCAATGTTGTTATTAGCTTGGTTAACTAAAAAAGCATGTCTTAGAAGCCAGGTTCTTGTTTCAGTAAGAGAATCATTATTTATATATAAAAAAAAAATAATAATGTTTTTATCCTAAAATGTTTTCATCACCTTTTTAAGAATGTTTCAGTATACCCTAATTTCAGTAATACCCTACCTGGAGCTGATGATAATAATATAATTACATAGATAAACATTTTGGCACAATAATCGGGCGTGAACTGCAGACACAGAAACATCAGATGATCCAAAGAGACTTGTGAAATGCTGACAGTCCTAATGTACAACATCTGTGCTAAACTCCTCCTACTCAAATTGACAACATTCAGCCCTCTTCTCACACAATATACATTATGAAATGTTATTTAAAACAATCCCACATATTGAATAAAATAAACAATATTCATAAATAGATATGGATAGCTAGATAAATGACAAGCTACAACATATTTCAGTGTCACATGCATTTTTGGAGGGATATTATTTAATATAAACATGATATAGATTTTGCATGTTGGGCAGAAATAAGGGTTCTGTAACTATAATTATCCAGATTTGCAGAAACAATGAGGGTCCGAGGGTGTTTTGGGGCCTGGAAAAGTTTTGACATGCCCTGACATTTGTGCTTTTTTTTCAGTTGCTTACAAACATTTGAATGTCTAAAGTTTAATAACACTGTAATCAGCACAAACTGGGCTACAATAATATGTGAGCAGCATGTATGTACGTGATTGTGTTTTTGAGAAAACAACGTTTATGCGTGCTTAGTGAAAAACTACAATTTTAATTCTTGTGCAATTATGCGAGTGATGCAGCCACAGTCCTAAACAAAAATGAAGACTATTTAATAAATTTTATTTTATAACGATGTATAAAATATACATGAAATACATATAATAAAATGTCAGTAGAAATATCCTGCATGCTTTAATACTTTCCTGAAATACAGGTTTTTGCACAGTGTAGTTTGTTTTCCTGTCACTGTGGGCTGCAGAGCACAGTAGTACAGAGCAGAGTCTGACACTTTAGCAGAGGAGATGATCAAATCCACATGGCTTTCTTTTTTTCTGTGTTTGATGGTTATTCCTGGAACGGGTGGATTAGCTGAAGTTGTAACCCCTGAATCTTCCAGTATGAGGAACTGTGGTGGTGATCCTGCGTATTGCCGATACCAGTGAACACCACGAGCAGAACTGCTGTAGTTACAGGAGAGTGTCACATTGTCACCCTCAAGAGCAAATTCTCTGTCACTTTTTGGAGTGATGACTTCTGAGGCTCTGGAACCTGCAAATGAAAGTGGCGTTAAATGTAGTTTTTAAACACTTCTGACGGAATAAAATACTAGTACAATATAATACCTTCAGTTGATGACAGCAGTATAATAATATAGATCAACATGTTCATTCACTACACTGGTAAGAACAAGCTAAAAACAGAGCAGCTGCTCCACACAGTGTTGAGTGATGTTCATCTTTACCCAGCTGTATGCTGTATAGTGTCTGTGCTAAACTCCTCCTCCTGTCCTGTCAATGTCCTGAATTACAATGCACCAAAGATTAAAAGAGCATTCATAGCTGTTTAAAATATGTTATATCTTTAAATTCTTTGTTTTTTTATATCAATATTGTATTACCCTTTTGCTCATATATGTGAGCTCCTATAATTTTGAATGAGACTTCTTATACAACATAATATGAGAAAAGAGATAACCTAACAAACAAGCTAACATGAGAAAAATATGCAATACATGCTAAATTGTATTCACATGTCCTTATGTAACCATTTTTACCTCCCAAATTCACAGCTGTTACCACATTCCCTGTTTGTTTTTTTACAAAAATGTTATGTGTTTTGATACTGATTGATTAAAGACTCTTCAAAGCATTAATTTTGTGTTAATTTTTGTAAAGCTTCTCTGGTATTTTGCATCATTGGGCTCCTACTCTTAGTGCACAATAATACAGAGCTGAATCTGACAGAGCTGCTTTTACAATAGTAAGTTCAGTGGATGACTGGGATGTAGTTGATTGAAACCCATCTGGTATATCCTTATAACTGCTCCATGATCGAGTGCCTTTATACAGTATATATTCTGGTTCTCTGTTTGGATATTGTCTGTACCAGTAAAGATAAATATCATTGCTTTTAGTTTCATATGTGCAGCTCAGTGTCACAAACTCTCCTTCTTCTCTGATTATATTAGTGTCTCCTTCTCTTGGTTCAATTGTATTAGTAAATGAACCTGAAATGAAATACATAATATTAAATATATCTTGATCTAATACAGAATAAGTGTAAATTGTGAGTCACTGTAGTTCTGAATAAAATACAGTATTTACCTGAAACTGTGAGAAGTATCATGAGTAGCATTTGTTTCTCCTCCATTTCTTCCAAGTTAGCTTTAAATCTTAAAAAAAGGGGAAAAAATAATAAAAGAAATAAAATATATATATATTTTTTTATTTATGTTTATTTATTATTAAGCTGCTTTATTGGAGAGTTGTAACTAATACATTCTGCTGAATGTGGCTTCATAAAATGAATAAAAATGTGAGAGTAGCTAATGGGTGACTGAATACACTGGTATGAGTGAAGCGTTATTGTGTACTAATAATGTGGGTGTGGTCAGAGAAACTTAAACATGATCTGTGAGCTTCAGTATATTACTAGTCATTTGCCCTTACCATCTAACTGCATTTCAAACAGATCTATCTATATGTCTAATGGATTTGCTTCATCATAATTACACAGAGCAAGTAAAAATATATATTTTCATCAGGGTATTACTTTAATAATCATTACTCAACACTCCATTCAGTGTTTAAAATTAAATGTTGATAGCACTTCTTAATCATCAAGGGTGAGCACCAGGGAAATGCTTGTGAAACATGACATGAGATTATGTTGCCCCCTTCTGTTGGAGTTTAGAACAGCATGTTTATTTTGAAATAATGTTCTTTCTTGAATGGTAAATATGTTTGAGCCACTTTTACATTGTTTTCTTTCTTTTGATTTGAGGTATAAACAAAATGCATTCTCAGATACAATTCTATAGGTTCTACAGAAAACTACCTTAAATGATATATCAAAATACGAGAAATGTTTTTTAGCAAGTTACACATTTTTATTTTTATTGATTTTTTTTTAAGCTAACAAAAACTAATGTCTGCAGAAATTTCCTGGATGATTAATAATTAACCCACTAGATGATTAACTTAAGCCAGGTTTTTGTACAGTGTTGTTGTGTTTCCTGTCACTGTGGGCTCCAGGGCACAGTAGTACAGAGCAGAGTCTGTCACTTTAGCAGAGGAGATCTCCAGATCCACATGGGTTTTCTTTTCATTTACTTTTCCAGAGAATCGAGGATCTTGTTCTACAATTTTAGACTTCTGTGAAACTTTCCCTGTCCCTTGTAGTATTATCAAAAGAAATTCAGGAGCTGAGTTTGGATATTGGCGATACCACTGCAGACTAACTGCTGAAGAGTAGTTACAGGACAGAGTTATATTGTCCCCCTCTGTCCCAAACACCTCAGGCTGGACTGGTGTGATGACATTCCCAAAGCTGACATCTGTAAATAAGATTCCATATTAACTCCATTGTCATGAAATACAAAAGCACAAGAAACCAAACAAGAAAAAAAAAAATACAATTAAATAGAATGTAAAATCTGAAAATATATAATAATGTAAGAAAATAAAAATAAAAATCTTACATGCAAGAGTACAGAACAAAAGTAAAGAGATGAGCACCATTTTGCAGTGGATTAGTTCATCTGCTGCACAGAATGTTAGACAGCAAACCCTCACTGTGTAGCAGAGGATGTCTGCAGATAGCACCTCCCCTAAAACCTGCACTCCTGCACTTAAACACAGTCATCCTTTTGAATCTTTTACAGCAAACTTCAACACCAAACTGTGACAATCCCTGCACTTGAATTTACATACTACTGAATACTCACTAGATAAAATAAATAAAATGTTAAATAAAATCTTTAATCTCTCTAAAGAAAAAAAAACCTCAACCATCACTTAACATAATATATGGTGTCTAACAATACTGTACTACAACAGTCAGTTGTATGTTTCAAGAACATTTTAACATGTCTGCCTCTGCTGGTACAACTTGGAAACACAAACATTGGTCTGGTGTGTTTGTCTAGTAAAACATATAATCTTTATTCTAAATCACCCTTATTTTATATTTGCACTAAATTGGCTAATGAAATGTTTGCATGCTTCCTAGACTCATATAAAATATCCATAAAATCTGAATAAATTTGCTTTCCCTAAATAAGAATGCTCATATTAACGTTACTGTCCACAAAACAAGCTGTACAGTAACTTGCACCTAGCCTATTTGAATGCTCATTGAGGTCGTATCTGAAACCAAGGGAGTGAATATAATTTTTTTTCCAGCCACAAAGTTATGATTATCATAAAATAATCTTGACACTCTATCCTTTGGTTTTGTTGATCAGGGACAATTTTGCAGTAATGACTGGCTGGAAGCAATTATTAACGTTTCATGAGTATGAACTGGAGAATGCAAAATGTTTGCTATTTCTTATCTGTCAAGAACAGCTTACAAAGCCAACCACCCTAAAAGGAAAATAGGAGGATTATAAAGAGCAAAAAGCGACAGGTCTCAAAGCAAGACAAGAGTGGACATCGGTAAAGCTTTCCATCACTACATGAGACTTCAAAGCGCTTGGAAACAGATGCAGATCTTTCTTTTTTTGGCTTGACAGGTAAATGCCTTGCTTTGTTAAGGTTAAGCCACAGAGGCGGGTAGTTGGCAAAGGGCGGGTTCTTTTTTCTCCACTGTATACTGTACTTTTAAATGTAAACACGTAACCAAAATTCATTAGGAATTTTGAAGCCCACCTTCTTGGAATGACTTATATAGGTTACTTAAATGTATATACAGCGGGTAAAATAATATTGAACACATCACCATTTTTCCCAGTAAATATATTTCTAAAGGTGCTGTTGACATGAAAATGTCGGTAACAACCCAACATAATCCATACATACAAATAAAACAAAACAAATAATTTCAGAAATTAAGTTATGTGTTATAAAATAGAATGACACAGGGGAAAAGTAGTGAACTACTGAAATTTATTTAATACTTTGTTCAAAAGCCTTTGTTGGTCATGACAGCTTTAAGACGCCTCCTGAATGGAGAAACTAGTGGATTGCATTGCTCAGGTGTGATTTTGGCCCATTCTTCCACAGAGTCTTCAAATCTTGAAGGTTCTATGGGCCTCTTCTATGAACTCTGATCTTTAGTTCTTATTTTCTATTGGATTCAAGTCAGGTGATTGGCTGGGCCATTCTAGCAGCTTTATTTTCTTTCTCTTTTCTTTTCATCTGCTGCACTGGATTTTCAGGATTGTTTAATTAGGCTATAACTTTTAAGCTCATGTCAGCATGTATGATTTGACTAACGTTATAAGCTCAAGTAGGTTTTTGTTCAAGCTCTGTATATCCTGTTGTCACTGTGGGCTGCAGAGCACAGTAGTACAGAGCAGAGTCAGACACACGTGGATTTTCAATTGTCAGAGGAACTGATTTTGAAGTAGAATCATGTCTGGAGTGAAATCGTCCCTTGAACTCACTGGCTTCATCTCCATCTCCAAACTTATGTCTCCGTAGAATATATTTTGGAGAGTCATAACTGTTTTGTCTGTACCAGAGTAGAGTAGGGTTTGAGCTTGTAGTATTGTATTTACAATCCAAAGTTACTGAACCCTCCTCTTCATATGCTGATTGGAAACTTTTAGGCTGTTTAACAGAGTCTTGTCCTCTGCATTCTGTGAGGAGAGTAAATGATTTTAGTAAATTTGTTTATAAATCCAGATGAAACTGACAGGTAGGAGAAAATACATGCATAAAATATGGTACATTACCCATGCAAGTTGCAAACAGGATTAAAAGAGTTTCCACACAGCTTCTCATTGTATTCATGATATAGAAGACACCCAAAAAGTATACAATGTCCTCTTGAATCTAACTGGAACTTGCTGAGATGCTCAAACTCCATGTGAAGTCCTGACTGTACGAATGGAGCTGTATATATTTGTTAAAACATCTCCCCCAAGTGGAAGAAAGCAGACACACATCTGTCTAATGTCAGGTTTTATTTGGAAACTAGTACACCACAATTAAATGCAGTGAGCATTAAGTGTTAGTGTATTCTCACAAGTTCTAGCTTATGAAATAATGTACACTTTGTATTATGTACAATATTACTTACATACTGTTTACAGACTTACATACTGAACAGAAGCTTTGCAACATAAAAACAGCGTATTTTAAGGTCCTGTTAATAAATTGAATAAAATAAGAATGCAAATATGCATAGACCTGTTATCCCAACTTGTTTTTTACCATCATGGAATGTCTTGACACTCAAACTATAATCACAAATAAATAGGGAGCTAAAATGAGCTAACTCTTTTTCTATCTAAGGCGATAAATATTTCAGTATATCTGTTTTGCAATTGAGGATCGCTGTGGTTTTTGTATGAAGTCAGAGGATTTCCTTTCACTGTGGGCCTCACAGCACAGTGGTACAGAGCAGAATATGCCACTGCAGCAGGGAAGATCTCCAGCTCCATGCGTTTGGTGTCTTTTCTGTTGAACATTGTTATCCCAGGAACCTGAGGAGTAGCATGTGTTATGAATCCAGACGATTCCATTATGAGGAACTGAGGTGCTGATCCAGGGATTTGACGGTACCAATATAAATCGTAAACCGTGCCTGTGTAGCTACAAGATAGCGTAACCTTTTCATCTGCTTTAGCAATTACTGTATCATTGTTGGGCAATATGATGTCTTCAGCATTAGTAACACCTGAAAACAATAAGGAGGGCAATGACCATGTTTTAAAATCATAATTCTGAATTGCATACATGGAAACCACTTTAAAGTGATAATTAGTTGAAATCTTACCTATTAGGAGAGATTCTATTAATAGGACTACTGCAAATGTTGACATGATGCTTTGCCAGTCAGGAAAAAAAAGTACAGGTTTACTGAAACAAGAAGTTCCTTGTCTCAATGTTGGAGAGCTGCTCTTTACTCCTCCTCCTTTAAGCATGTAAGTCTTATGTGAGAGTTATTACTCTAGAGTGCCATTCATTTCACATTTCACAAGGGAGTATAAGGAAATACAACTAGTTTGTAAAATAGTTTTTGCATCTATATCTGTTTATTTTGACTGGCTTTAAAATGTGAAAGTACATTGCAGATAGTTGAATGGGTTGTAGTGTATTAATCAAATGTTGTATAAGGAAAGTAGTGCTGAATGAAGCACATAGCATACTGCCTTTAAAACCAGCAAGATTTTAATATTTTTTTTGTGGATTAACTGATATGTAAGATATGTTGCATATCACGGTGTCATGTTTTTGTGCATTGTTTGGAGGCGTTCTAGTCACTGTGGGCTGCAGAGCACAGTAGTACACAGCAGAGTCAGACACACGCAGATTCTTGATTGTCAGTGGAACTGAATTTGAGTCCAATCGGGCATCAAATCTCTCTTCAAATTCAGAACTGTTGCTTGATCCAAATTTGTATCTCATCAGCACATACTCAGGGCCTTTAGAGCGTTGAATGTACCAGTAAAGGTATGGAGTTAGTTGAAGTGTTTTAAATTCACAGTTAATTGTGACCTGCTGTCCTTCAGCGGCAGTTATATTCTCATTTGGCTGATTAACAGTGTCCTCGCCAAAGCATCCTGTTAAGGCATAATAACATAATGCATTTAAAATAATCATGTTATCAGTGACTTTTAAATTGAAATGCAACAAACAGGAAAGTTCTCCTTATATATCTGTGATTTCTTACCATACTTAAGGACAACCATGAATACAATGCATGCCCGGTAAGCCATCGTTGCTTAATAGTGACAAAGACAAAAAAGACGCTGATGAAGGGAAAAAAGTGTTCTGTGACTGAATGAAAGCTTTGTTTTTTTTCCTAGTAACTCTGCAATTTGAGTGGTTCTTTTGAGGTCATATCATGGCACAGTAATGTGTTTATATTGCCATCTTCAGGATGAATGTGTTATCGTGCTTGACTTGCTATTTACAGGGATGATCCAGCCAAAAATGAAAATTGTGATCATGTTGTTCCAAACCTGTATACATTTATTTTTTTTCTGCTGAACACAAAAGAAAACATTTTAAAGAATGTTGATAACCAAACAGCTTTAGTTCCTATTGACTCCCATTGTATTTTGTCCACATGGAAAGTCAATGGAACTGTTTAGCTACCAACATTCTTCAAAATATCTTCTTTTGTGGTCAGCAGAGGAAAGTAAGTCATAGAGGTTTGGAATGATATGCGGGTGAGTATTGTTTTTAATTTTTGTTATAAGTGTTATATTCTAAATCAGCAATGCTTTCTGTTGTATTATGTAGGTTCTGGTGCTGTTTGGTCATTTTTGATTGAAATATTTTACATGTAGTGTAAAGACTAATTTTTCCTTCATCAGAATGGTCTTGGCACTTGTTATGTGAACACAAAAAATCATTGACATGATTTGAAAGGATTAAATGGTCCTGAAAAAAATAGTCACACTCAGAAATGACCACATTGGAAACAGATGGGAAATGAATTTCATCTAGTGCAAATGTTTGATCCTTCACCCAAGCAAAATCTTATTGAAAGCTTATTTTTTTGACATGTCAACCTCAAATTTGGAACATGAGTTGTTTAAATTTACATTTTTGTTTATATTTTCACACAGTTTTAGT